GGCTGGTTTTCACAGTTCCTCATGTTCTCCTCACTCCTACCCTAAATTATTACCATAACAGATTTTTTTTTCAGAGAGAATTAATATGTGGGCTGGTTTCCAGAGGCATGGTTTGACTTTCAATACCACAATGAGATGGCATAATCGCCTGAAAACCGAGTTTTTACATAGGAGTGCAAGAGCCGACTATCTGATAGACATTTTAATCAAAGCGCCTGATGAGATCTCTGCATCATTCCTCGTCATGTTAGCACTAGCCAGTCTTATAAACCTTAAAATGAAGCAAGCAAAAACTAAATATCTTTAGGATAGGAGGAATTTAGATAGGCCTTTTCGTGTGCGAGAATGTAACACAGCCCATAGAACGGCGGTTAAAAACAAAATATTTGAGGTTGGGATGGAAAAACGCTGTGATTGTGATGCAAAGGTGAAGAGTTTTTGAGGCACACGTTTGCTTTGTTTTGTAATACATCATTTCAGGACAACCTCCACTGCAGAGGGTGCGGCGTATGCCCGTACAGATTCACTTGTACATGCGGAAGCGCAGCTAGAGCTGGCATCAATTGCGCGCCTACACACGGTTATGATGTTGGAAGCATACCTCAAGAAAGTGGTTTAGGGCCAACAGGAGAAGTGCCAGAAATCAGCGACAACGTCACTGACGAAAGTGCCGAAATTTACCAACCACTAGAAGTACCACCCCCTGTAATTCAACAGCCACAGGAACAGCCGCTGAGCACGAGAGAAAGGCGCATAGAATTATGGAGATCTGCCTAAATGGTTTTTTTTTACAAAATAACCTCACGCTTATGCTGAATTATGAATTTAGAGCTACACGGTTATTGACGGCACTATGAAACGGCTCACTAAAATGGACTCAGATGAAACAATGGAAAAATTATCAAGCTTAGTTAGAAGAATCAAGGAATTAGAAGAGTTAGCCATATCGGATGATGTGCCAGGAACATCATTGGCACTACGACTCGAAATGAGTAGTCCTGGC